CTAGAAGGCAACGTCCCGGCTGCCAAAAATCATGAAGCAATGCTGAAATCTGTGAAGGACGGGACGGGGCCGATCACTGGTTAACAAGTCGAAAGGGAAGAGGGGTATAATGTGGGTGGCATGGGCTGCGGGAGTAAGAGGGAACAGGGTTTGGTACCGGTGAACAGAGTTGTCCTACTGATGAACTAGGGGGACTGCATGGTTCGCTATAGGTTAAGGGGGAACTGAGTTCAGGGAACAGGGAATTTCTATTGATGTTCTACTGGGTAAGGGAAACAATGGTCAGGGGAACAAGGGATGTCTATTGATGTTCTAGTGGGTACGGGGAACAATGGTTAAGGAAACAGGGATCTGCTAATAATGTTCTACAGGGTTATCAAAGTTAGGAAAAATAAAGATAAAAATGTTTGTTCGGGATGCAAAGGCTGGTGTGTCCGAAGGAGTCGGAAGCAGAATCTCATGTAGGAACAAAGTGTCCAGGTGTCTTGAAAAGGCATCTGCAGCGGTCTTGATCAGGTCTTTGGAGTAGGTGGTAGAAGCGGTCTTCAGCAGCTGCGATAGGTAGAAGTCCAGGAAGCGTAGTAGTAGTTCAAGTGTCAAAGTCCAAGTGCTAGGGTGCGTCCGGTACACGAACTGCAATGAGGTCTGATCTGGAAGCAAGGAAGTCGCAGACTGATGCAAAGATCCWTGTCACAAGTTGCTGCTCCAGTAAGTCCGCGAGTTGGGATGCCGGCCAATGAAACAGCATGGTGGCCAAGCCAGCTGCATAATCTCCATGAACAGTGAGGCAGCAGGCCATCGTCCTCGTGCGCTTGCCATTAGATCCTTTATCGCCGGCGTCACGCAAGTTCACAAGCATTGGACAAGAGAGACCAGGTAGTGGAGAGGACAGATGGGACGAGGCTAGGCGAGGGCAAGGGCAGATCAGACATCAGGAATGMGGATCAAGGGAAGGGTGGACTGGGTTCAAGGGTGTGTGTAGAGCAGGGTTGCAAGGGTTTTTAGCGGGGGTTTATGCCATAGTGATATAGGTGTCTAGGACGTAGGATTAACACGATCATAGGCGCGGACAAGTTTCATGGCGTTCTTAAGATTAGAGAGAGGTTCCCATGTAGATTCTTCGTCGGGGTATCCGGTCCATTTGACTTTGTATTCAGTGATTGGTTCCGGATGATCAGATACCTGAGTGGTTCGTCGGCCGATGATGGTTTCGACAACGAATTCAGGTCCTGTGGGTAGCATGATTGGTGGAGGTTTGGGCTATAGGCGGTCGGCGAACTGGAGCGGGGATTCATGGTATTCATTTAGGTACTCGACATGGAAGACTGGGTGGACAGTGTTCAGGTGGAGGGAGGAGTGGGAGTAGAAGGGCCGGGTCCCGTGGAGCGAGGGGCCTGTCGAGTAAAGTGGCTAGCGTTGGGGCAGTTGGTCTGTTGATGACCTAACTGGCGGCAACGAAAACACCCGTTGTGTTCCTGGAGGTATATGCGTTCTGCGGTTGTGAGTTTCTGGAGGCGGCGGGGTGGAGAGGAAAAAGGCGGTCGAGAGGCACGATCCTGGCGTTCCATCCGTATAAGGTGGGCGGTCTGGAGGTCCTCGATGGTGAATTGGGAGGGGTCGAGAGAGGCAATGTCGAAGTCGTCATCGGAGGTGGGTTGAGTGGTGTCGTTATGGAAAAAGAGGGGGCGGGAGGGAGCGGGCGCGGACTAGTGATGGGGGTGGAGGAGTCGATTGTGGTGAAGCATGCGAGAGAGGAGGTCAGCAAGGGGCATGTCGGGTTCGTGGGCGTGGGCGGTGGCAAGATCTTTGTGGCATACTCGCTTGATGCGGGAGATGAACGCAAAGTCGGGAATGACGGTGGTGGGGAGGTGATGGCGGAGGGAGCGGATTTATTGGATGAAGCGGTTTGTGGGACCGGTTTGGCGGAGGTAGTCGTCAATGGTTTTCTGGGGGTGGAAGGTGGCAGCGAGAAGTTTGGCCCATTGGAGGAAGGAGTGGCGTGGTCCTCCAGAGGCTCGGCGGTTGCTGACTTCAGCCATCCACCATTTGGCGGCATTGCCGAGGAGGCGGGARGTGACAATGGGGAGCCAGTGGGCAAGGGGCATGTGGTGGAGGTGAAAAGAGTTCTGGAGTTGGGTTAGGAAGAGGAAAATGTCCTCTTGGGGGAGGCCGGAGAAGGACATGATTTCGCCGGATCGGAAGGAACCGGGGATTTCCCCGTCGTGGTGAACGATCCGCGAGAGGGTGTTGAAGCTGAGGTTATCGGGGGTGGTGTCGTAGCAGGTGTGGTCGATTTGGTTGTTGTCCTCAAGGAGGTGGGGGGGGGGGAGTTGTGGCATTGCGGGGTAAACCCCCGAGGTGTCTTGGGAATAGGTGGGACAGGTGGTGGGGATGGTGGAGGTGGTCATGATGGGTTGGGAGAGGGTTTGGGAGTGCGGGGGGGGGAGAGGGGTGACATGGATGGGCGGGGAATGAGGCGGTGTGCTGGATGCGCCGGATGAGGGAGGAGGTGGAGGGAACGGGACGATGGTGGAGGTTGAAGGGTTGATGGATGTGGTGGTAGAGGTGGTAGGAG